TGAATGAAAAATCGGCTTAAATGCTTGAGAATTTAGGAGACTTGAGAATTGGTAATCTCTAGTTTAGCTACGGAAGTTACGGTAGCTAATAATTTTTTTACTCTTGTTCTGTCTGGGGTCCCATGCTATTCCACCTGAATCCTAATTCATTTGGCCCTGATACCAAATTCTGGATACAGAGCGATCAAATAGGCGCAGCGGAACAGAAAGACTTGCGTAAGCAGCTGCAATCGGAGAATGCCAATATAAAGGTCCTGTTCACAGCGTGTACAGACAACAAGAACGATCGAGCCTTGCGCACAATGCTCTCCAAAACAGTTAAGACCTTGCTAGATCGCAAGATCGTGGAACAGGAAGTGAGGGCCAAAGAGCTCAAGGATGAGAGGCCAAAACCCCGAGAGAAGGAGAAACGACACGAGAAAAAGGTGAGTGGGATTGGGTGGGGCGTGGTGATTTGGGTTCTGGCGGCACCCAAGGTTGATCCTATGTTTTGCCGTGATACGAGTATGATGAATGCGTGAAGATGCATATCTGTAACAAGTGTTTGTGCAACAATAGGCTTCGTTTGTATATAACTATCACGTAAAATGTTACATCACACCATATATCGAAATAAACTCATAATTAATCTCACATAAATCATTGTTTGGATACACAAAAACAATCTTCAGTTATGATGGCGTGTGAACTGAATGTCGAATGATCGTCGCTGGTTTTTTTCATGGAGCGGTATATGTGCATATTGCAATGGCAGTGAAAGTTGTCTTGTATGTTCATGTTTGTGTCACATATATTTAAGGCTATACCATAGCAAAGGGGTTATCTCTGAACTCTTATACTGCAACTATTGCGACCCATTATTCGAATAGATAAAATATACGCTGATGACGGTAGGTATTCCCAATGTGGGTAAGTCATCGCTTATAAATGCCTGGCGAAGGAGTGTGTTACACAGGGCCAAGGCAGCTAAAGTGGGCAATCTGGCGGGGGTTACCAGAGGCATGCAGACTATAATCACCATCTGCGACAAGCCAAAAGTATGTGCGTATAGTTATTGATTTAAAATTTCACTTCCGAATGTAAATGGGCGTTTGCGTGTGTATGTGTATACGAGACATTTGCATGCGCATGTTCAGAAAACAATACCGGTAAATACCATTATACTGCACAGTGGGCAGTTGGGTTGGAGCACAAAGAATGACGAGTGTAAGAACGATCCCATACACGATGCCCACGATATCTGTTAAGGCGGTGTGAGTCTCTACA